GATCATCATGTGAGACTGATGTCTGTTTAGTCTAAGTTCAAGATAATTAGCAGTAGGCAATAATAAAGTCAACAAAAAAGATTTTTTTTCTTATGCCAGTGATCCTCAAGCCAGAGGTGGGTCTAGGTGGCACAATGCTTGGCTTCAGGAGCTTCACAGCCAACTTCACTTGGCATTGTTAAGTACTTAATGAGAGAGTTGGTGAAAAGTTCCATAGGTTAACTGGAAAGATGCAGCTTTCCCACCATGTATCTTCTAGATGCTTCTATCCTCTAGCATGTAGCAGGCACTGCATCTGCTGCCACTGCAGAAGTTTAGGAATTTCTGATTGCTACAAGAAACATTCCTTCTAATCTTGTTAATCTTGTTTGATAAGATTTTTTGTTTTATGTCTATTTTGGCATGACACACAAGAGTCACAGAAGGCAACTAATTTATCAGGAAATACTTTTTTGCACAACATGTGATATACCCAAAGAACTTCCAGAGATACAGGCTTAGGAGGATTCTGAAAAACACTAGATTTTTATGTGAATATTAAGAGTTAGAACAGGGAGCAGGCACTGACTTCAGCAAACTTCATGTCTAAGTTCCAGAACATAATGTATGTATGTGTCTCAGTTCCTCAACTATGAAATGGAGATAATTCCTGACTTTAGAAGGGGCTATAGGATAAGTTAATTTTGTTTGCTAACCAAGCTATGGAGATCAAGAGTGAAGAAATATTTTAATATTCCTTGATATGTCCAAAGGAGCCAACCAAGCCTTGGAAGCTATTGTTTCAGGCCCTATATATTCATAGGACACAGACCATGTTCAAAAGAATCTACTATATATATATGACAAGATCAATAAACAAAGATGAAATGCAAGCAATCGATTTCAGAGTGAACAAATAAAATTTGAGATAGTCAGATTTTTAAGAGGTGGAGAAATGAATTAAATGATACCTCAGCAACAAGTGCCCTAGTGCTCTCAGAGCTAGTAACAAAATCTAATAATGCCCTCCCAGGACACCTATAAACAGAGAGATTGCATTCATACGTTTTCATTCCATTTATTGCTACTGAGTCATGTGGTTTAATTGGTCAGATGAAAGGTAATCATCACTCGGAGAGAGGGGAGGTTTTGCTTAGCAAACCTCAAGTTATAATTTATTTATTTGCTAGTCTTTAAAAGCTGGAATGCTAGAATAATTGCTCTGTTTAATAACATATGCTTGCCAAGTTGATTTTGCATTAGAAAGTTTCTCTGCATCTCAGAATGCCTAGGAGTTATCTGCACTAAAAATTGTACCTTTATAACTAAGCTGTGAAAATATATTACAGAGAGATGACAACAAATTCCAAACAATTGACTCTAATATGTTAAAGACAAAGAACTGTACTTTGATCTGCTTTCAGCCAAGAATGTTGAGGATACAGAACCTGTAAACTATTCAGCACACTGAATTATGAAGTAAGCACAAGCTAATGCCTTAATGGTTCTACTATAGGCATACAACGTCAAAGAGAGCAAAAATGGAAGTGAAATGTACTTTCAAATACTGTTGTACACATTCCTTTTCAAATCTGTCTTCACTGTTGGTCATTAAAAGAGACTTCAGTATTAGCCCCAGGTAGCCAAGAAATTACTGGTTTTACATTTTGAAAACATTATGAATGTGATACAAAACCAATTCTTCTTCAAAAACAATTAGCAAGACCAAGTAGGTTTTTTTTACATAGAAAAACGTTCAGAAATCTTTTAAATTCCAAAGCTATCTTTTTTAGGCAGAGGTGAAATCTGGCAGCCTGCACTAATAAACCTCAGATGCAAAGTTTTTAGATATGACAGAAAAGCAACAAAATTAAAAGATTGCTGATGTTTGCTGGTCACCAATTTCTCTTTAAGTAAACCTGGAACCAGGAAAAAATACCTCATATTTAGCATCACCTTAAAGTTCAGTTTCACTTGAATGAGTAATTTGCAAGGGTGACTCTCAGACTTTAAAGGCAAGAATGATTGGCTTTATGATTTCATCAGAACTAAATAACAAAGCCTAATAACTTTTGATTGAGAGTAATTTATGTCTTTTAAAAAGATGACATATCAAGGAACCAGGATACCTGTTCAATCTGCAGACCTTGTCTTTTGCCTTAGCAATTTAGAAATTCAGCTCTAAAGTTTGAGAGTCAAGAGATTTGTGGATTAAAGAAAGACAAAAAGGAAAATAAAGGATTCTAAATATCTTCTTTAAGGCATGTAAATGACAGGTGTAGATAAGTGTCTGTTGGCCAGAATAGCTGGGGGCGTTGATCCTTAAGCTTAACATCCCATGTGCTGTGGAAAGTGGAGTTTGACCTTTTGCTCCATCTCTTCTGGGCAAATGTTTTTGCATGATTTAAAAGAGTGGTTATTTTTTATGCAGATGACTGTTAGCCATGCTCTGAGAGGCAAAGAGAAATTTCTGGTAGAAACGAGCTCTATCAGCATGGTTGAATAAGCAAAATGATTCTTCCAGCTATGCTAGTTTTAGGCCACTTAAATAATAATTAAAAAAAATCATAAAATGAGATTTTTTCAATGGATATTTGCTTTCATTCCTATATTTACTATAATTACTATGATTAATAACACCATGAATAAATAATGTTTGAAGGTGTTGTTGGAGAGCTTTAGGAGACAGAATCAGCTCTCTGAATCTCTTCTGAATTTTTCATAGAACTTTATTTTCTCACAGACATGTAACTGAAAGGTTGTGCCACTGAAAAATGCAGTTTTTATGGGAAAATGTAAACTTAGAAAAATCCTGTGAATTTCAGCAGTTAAAAGTCTATTGTCTTTGACTTACTGTGGCATTTTATTGTGATATATGTGAGATATTATCATATCTCATTTTCAATGTACTCTTCACAGAAGATACAGAAAATCAAATCTTGCTTTGTCGATGAGCTTTACCACTAAGGTGTAATTGTTATAAACCTACAGATTAAAGAAGTGAGATAATAGACTGTAGAAGGATTAAGATTACAGAATATAAAACAGAATAAAAGTGTCTATGAATTTGTGAGAGAGAAAATATTCTGTATAATGGAGCGGAAATGCATGTTTCTTACCAGTACACTTTTAACTAATTTTTTACTCTACTGGTAAGAATTATATATTAGTAAAAGTAATAAAAATTCATACAATCTCCAAATCTCTTGTAACAGTTTTATCTCACGTTTAATATTTCAGATTTTATTAATTCAAATTATGTATATTTTTTAGATAGCCTAAAAGTTTTTGTTTTATTCATGAAGTAAGTTGAATTAATATTTGAAACTTTAATGTTACATATTCCAATGAAATTATTGTTTTGTGAAAAGTACCTTCAAGAAGTGACTTTAGAATTAGGCTTAGAATATCAGGTTCACTATTTTAGGTCTAAAGTAGGCCCATATTCATTCATAGTGCATTTTCATGTTTACACAAAGTTATCAAAGTATATTCCAAAGTATTTTCTGCTCCGTTCCTCGAGAGTGCGGGCAGTGGGAGGTGCAGTGCCCGTGGAGCCAGGCCGTGCTGCAGCACCGCGGACAGCGCTCACTGCGGGCAACGCGGGCGGCCCTTCGCCGGGAAATCCTTCACAACCTAGAAATATTATTTTTTCATGAAATAGTACTTTATAGGAAAAAATCATTGAAACAAAATTAGTCTAAAGTGTTTGTGGGGTGTTTTTTTTTGTTGTTGTTGTTTTTTGTTTTTTTTGTTGTTTTTTTTAATGACAATAGGATTTCTAAGACCCTCAGTCCATGCTCACACATAGGTGTTCTGAACTATTATTGTAATTACTTGAACTATTTTAATACTTCAGAGTTCTTACATGGTCCAAGATCTCATTGTAGGGATTGCAAAAGCAGAGAAATGGATCATTTTCCTCCAAGGGTTTGTGATAACCATGATGAGCAGTTTAAGCTGATGCAACTGCAAGTTGCTACTCAAAGGGACTGTCTCTCAAGCTACTTCCCAGTGTTGACATTAGTGATTTTTGTAATGAGTCAGATCATGGATCCTAATTGAAAATTCCGTGGTCTTCATCTAGATTCATTCCTAGTTAACTTGTGCATTTTTTCCTCCCCCAAACCCCTCCCATGTTTTGGTCTGAATAAAATTCCCTCCACAGCTGAGAACTGTTGAGCCAAACCCACGTGCAGGTGGCTGCTGTGTGATGTGACAGAGCAGGTGTACGTGATAGAAATAGAAGTAGAAACTGTCAGCTACCCAGCATTCCAGTATAAGGTATCCTTTAGTAACAGTAAATCCAACATTGCTATTATGGGAATAGTGGCTAGAGACAACTGGGTGAGGCAACTTGTATAGCAGTCTTTTATAACTAATAGTGTCCCGAGTACAAAAGATCAAGGCAATTGAGCCTTGGGTTAAAATAAATAAAACAGATCACCCTAAAAACTCTTTACTAAGCAATAATATAATAGCACTGGTGAAATCGAAGCATCCATTCCTCCTGTCTTACATAAAGGTCTTTCTTCCTCTGTCTTTCAATGAGGATATCATTTATAATTTTGGAGAATCAGTAATCAAAGGCAAAATAGTAAGCACACTTATTTTCTACTATTTTGTAGTGGGAGGGGGGGTCTGAATAAAGAATGACTTATTTATTTCTAAATACAAAGTGCATTAGGACATAGTAAAATAAAGATATCTGGCAGAACTTTGAGTTTTCTGCCATTATTTGTATATTGATGTATATACTTACTTCAATGTAAAAAAAAAAAAAAAAAAAAAAAAGATGTGCAGTTTAAACCTCAAACCCATTTTCAAATACTGGTAAGCATTTATTAGTCTTACTTTATTTTAGAGCTGTGCAATCAGGGGCTAACTGCGATCCACACCTCCCCGGTGGCTGGGCAGGGTGTGCGGATCCAGCGGGTCGTCCTGTGCCAGTAGGTGGAGCCCGCACAGAACCCGCGGCCGCCTTGTTTCCTCCCCCTCCGCTCTTCTCCCCCCTCCCCTCTTTTCATTTCCCCCACAACCAATTTTCTGATCGATGCTGGGATTCAAGGAGTGAATCTCAGAACAGGAAGCAGGCGAAGAGACTACAGAATACTGCAGAGGTTCCTTTGTTGCCTTTATGGGGAGATTCTTTCTTTATTTCTTTCCTTTTTCATTTCAGTGAAATTAAGAGTTTACAAGCTTCTTTGCCCAGGAACCTGTATCTGCAGTAGGAGCCTCTCATCATCTATCTACAAGTGTATGGATATTTCTTATGCTATGATTTTTGATTCTCTTTTAATCAGGTAAGACCCTATTTTATTTAATTTGAATGCTTTAGACAACAAATTCCAGTTGTTTTATACCAAGATTCTTCTCTTGTGGTGCCACACCTAGTTTTCAATTAATATTAATAGAGCAAGAGGAGAGGAAATCATAGCCATCTTTGCCACTGCATGGATTTTTCACAGCATTTAATTAGGTCTTAGCACAATAACAAAAATATTGTTGCTCTTTGGAGGTTTCTGGTCCCGTGTTTTTTAACCTTGCATGTTTATAAGGATTACTTTTGAGTTCGTGTTTTTCGTCCTAATTGTGGTAATTTGTTGCTGTTATTTTGAGGTGGTCATCCACAAGTGTTTTCTTTTTCTACTGGAGGCTATACTGTGCTGTATTCAGAATACAAATTGGAGTATGTTCTGAAGCACACAAATGCATCCCTGGGATGGCACAATTTTGATGCAGAAATGTGCTGTTGCTTCTTTATTCTATCTTCAGACTGAGGCTTTCTTTACTTCCTAAATTCATCATTTTGTTTCTGTGAGGCATGGGAGATCTACAGGATTTTCCCCTCCCTCATTTCCCAAAACAGCCTCTCCCTGATGGAAGACAGAATGGAGGACTTGTCTGTGACTAAACATGGTTTTGCACTGCTGCATGCACCATATGAAACACATATGTTTTGTGAATTGTTTTACATATGCAAGAATGAAATTTTTATTAAAAAAAATTCATTCCATATTGCATGAGAGGGAAAAATTATTCCTTTCATTATTTTTTTAAAAGCATGATACTCACTGGGAGAGACAGCAGAATGACTCAGGAGGTGGGAAGCTCATGCAGCACCCCCTGACTCTTCTTTCAAACCTTCTGGTCTTTTTTCTTACCTTCTTTGAATTACAACAATAATATGTTTATAGTTGGGAAAAACCACACAGAAATGCATTGACTTACACGGTCACAGATCAGAGAAGGGGCTCAGTAGCCAATTTGTGAAAAAATAAAGAATGTGCCATCAGTTTAAATGCATTTTGCTTTTGAGTATAAGGTGGTAAGAAGCACTTAATCAAAATTTTCACACACCTGTATAACGGTAAATCTTTTTGCTTTAGTGGTGCTTAGTGAAGCAACAGAAAATTGCCTGTTGGGATTTGAATGCTGGGTGCTGCATTGGGTTTAGATGACTCCATAGATACATGTGAAATGTTAAGAAGGTTCACGCTCGTTCTCACCATCTGTGCAGGTTGCCTGCTTGGCTGTATTTTTGTGATTGATGTTTACAATATGTATAGCTGGGTATGGTTCAGCCACTGTAGTATCTGAAAATCTCTTCACTAGATGGTAAAGGATCCTCAGTTCTTGAACAGATTTGGAGAAACGATGAATAATCATGCCCAAATGATCCGCAGTTTCCTCCAGTGACAAATGCATTAAATAAATGATGCTCTCATATGTCTATAGGCCCCACTTCAACAGCAAACAGGCATGTCAATGGGATGACTCACATTCTTAATATTAGGCAAGTGGATAAGGACCTGGCTCTGTTCTCTTGATTTTTAGACTGCACCAATTTTCAGGGAAAGAAAAACTTTTGTAATCACAGAAATTTTGCAGTGTTCATAAAATGCAGCTAGTAGGCCAAATGAGCATGTAGCTTCAAAGACAAGCTATAGATTAATTTGTATGTTTAAAAAATAAAAAGAAAAATCCATAGAGTTATTACAGGTTTTGAGTACGTTCATTGTGAGCCTTAGGTCTTGGGAAATAAGAGGCACATAAATGGCCATATTATATCAAAGCATGATCCAGTTACCTTTCCGTAGGAATGAAGTTGGATATTTCTGGAGGAGTTCAAGCAAAACTTGACCCCAGGAGAAAGGTGTCCCTCTTTACCTTTTGTGAAACTTAATTTTAGGGGGTATTTAAGCCTTCTTGCTATTTTTGTTCAGCTGAAATACTCTAATTGAAGTGTACTCTGTACTCATATAAGCATCAGATCTCCACAGGAGATCCCAGCATACCTACTCTGCAGCCAGAGGAAGAGTCCAGCATCAGTTACGCTGCCAGGGCTGCTTGCTGGTGATTTCTTTGTCACAGATCTGGATGAATGGATTCATTGGGTCACTGCCTGCAGCCCCACTCGACTCCTGAGTAGCCCTTAAACTCTTCCACCGAAAGGATGGAGGGGACACTGAAATCTCATATAGGCTATCTGCTCGAATCCTACTTGGTAGCAAGAAATGCAACCATAATGCCCTCTTATGCATACAGCTCTTGGCTGGAGCATGAAAATCTCAAACAAGCTTTTTACTGTGTTGCTTCCAATGTTTCCACATGTTCACACCAGCTTCTCCAGAGCACAGTGTGGATCCTTTGCAGCCACAGACCCTGGTCTGTACTTCCCCTGAGTGGGAGCAGCCTCTCACCCATCAAAGCCGTCCTGTTTCTCTCACCCTGGGTCTCAGCTTGCCAAGAGGGTGTCAGGGACTCCAGGGCCTCCTTTCTAGAGCCTTCCCGAAGTCACTCAAATAAGTCCATTTTTTGTGCCTCCTGTCGTCTCACTGACACCTACCAGTCTCAGAAATGCCGGGTTTAAAGGCATTTTTGCCAACTGTGGCCTGAATCTTCTGTTCTTCTGTTGTTGTCTTTGAAAGGCAAATAATGCACCCAATTTCCAAGAAGTGTTAATGACAGGAGCAAATGATGTTGTGAATTACTAAATACCATAAGGATAAAACAAACAAACAAAAAAGCTAAGGAGGAAGTTATTAATTCTGTACTCACAGAAAATATGCAGTAAAAGAGGTTTGGGACCAAAGTACTGAAAGAGGACAACATTCATGTTATTCAGATTGAATTCTAAGTTTGCAACTTTACCTCTCTTATTTCTGCTCCTGAACCTACTGTTGTTCCTTTTCCCCAACCCTTACCTCCAACTGAAGTTAGGCTGCTTCCTCTTTCTGCCTCTGACTGGTTTGGGACCAGGAGAAGGGCTTTGCTTCCGCTCCTGGTTTCCATGTTTGATGCCTCAGCAGCTTTCACTGTCAGTGCTGCTGAAGGGGCTGCTAATGCCAGGCAGAAACGTAGGCAACATGTGGCAGCTCTGTAAGTATGTATTACAAGCCGCTAAGAAGCTTTCTTTCTGAGCATATTTAGAAATTACTTTAGAGAAGTGCTGAATGGCCAGATTTCAATAAATTTAAACAGGAGCAACAAAACTCAAACTCTTATATTGCCTGAGCAGCCTACTTGACACAATTCAGAGTAAATAGATTGTAGCAAAAGTTCTCAAAAAAAAAAAAAAAAAAGGCTGCATTTTAATGCTGCAGCATCACCATCATGCTCATTAAATAATTACAAAAATAGTTTTGAATCTTCCTATTAAAAAACCGAAGAACATAGGTCCACCATTCTTGCCTGATGGTTTATAAACTTGTCGATTACTGACATATGCTTTCAAACTTTTTCCAATAAGCAGACTACAAATGTACTTTTTCTATTAAATGGTGATGATTTTGTTGTTATAAGCATTCAGACTGAAAGAAACAAGTATCATGAGGATACATGAATCTGCATTGTCAAGTTAAGCTTTTCTTTCTAACTTCATTGAAAGAAGTATCTCACTATTTATAGTGTCATTAAAGAAATAAATCCATTCTCAACAATTAATGTTTGGCAAAGCTGAAGGCATTAAGAAGAGATTAACATGATGGAAACTATTAAGCAAACAATGCTCTTTCAGCTCTTTCATACTATATGGGGGGGGAAAAGGCAGGTTTTTTTTTTTTTAAATCGTGAATAAGTTATTTTTTAGGTCTCTCTAGCTGAAGGTCAGTGATTGTTTCTGTATGAAGTTTTCGTAAGTTTTGTGTAATAGCAATCCCACTTGCTGTTTGATTCTTAGCTTGGCTTTCCTTAAGTGTGGGCAGAATCTGATTTTGACCAGAATTATTGTTCTTGAACTGCTAATTCTAATTGGTTCTCTCTCATCTTTTTCGAGATCCTCACAGGTACTTCCCATTATGCATTAAAAATGCAAACTTCCCCTACCAGGAAAGAGGATCATGTTCAGTAAGATAATTATTGCTCTGTGTAAGATATACTTATCTTACCTGCACAGACTGGTAACACATAGCATGAGCAGGCATGCATTTTAAGATGATGGATGTCCAGGTTTTCAACATATAGCAAGTGGTCTTCTCATCCTCTGAAGTGGCCTTGTCATATCACAGGAGATGCCTGATTTTTATGGCATATAGTGCTGCTTGTCCGGTCTTAAGTGGAGTTGTAACATACAGCTTTGAGTAATTTGGAAAATGCCAAATGACCCACTCTAGCCAAAAAAATTGGGTACCATTCAACCTTGCAGTAAAAAGCATGACGGCAATAGGTCTGTCTAGCCAGCTCTCAGCTCAGCACTTTGGTTTCAAAGGCAACGTTTGTGCTGTACTGATCTATACAGACCCACTCGATTATTTTGACCTGCTAACTCACCACTCTGTAGCTTTCTGGTTGCTGGTTCAGAGTTAATTAAAGCTACAGTATTTCCAGATCTAGTGCTGTCACTCCTGTGCTGTCACTCCTGTGACAGCAGGGTGAATTTTGCCTTAGATGAATTATTACCAGCAGGCTTTCACAGTGGGGCACAGAAACAGTCTTCCTGTCTGAATGGGTGTTATTTATACTTTTACTTTTTCTATACCAACCTCACCATGTCTCACCATCCTCAGTGTAACTGCAAAATCCTTCTCAGCCTTTGACCCCAATGTAGTTTTGTTTGATGATAAATGTAAATGACTCACTCTGAAATTAGGATTCTGACTCAAGTTCTCTAAAGCAATACACTGTGTTCTAGACTCACCCATTTGTCTCAGTAGGATCCCAGATATAATAGGAGCCAGATTCCGTACATGTATATAAAATGGAGTCAGATGCATCCTGAAAAATTTGACAGTCTGTGATCTTGATAGAAATAGTGGCTGGAGTTTAATGCATCATAAACTGCATGGAGCAAGGTTAGAAACAA